GAGGTAGGTAGAAAAAAGGCCAGCTAATTATTCCCTAAGGGAAAGAAAAATGAAACTTTTAGAGACCAATACATGAAGCTTTTGGTGGATGCATATCATGAGATGAAGCAACAAAGTAGCAAACATTGAGCCACCAAGTTGTTGATCATGTTAGAGATGAGATGTCTACAATATCCAATTTAATGCTATAATAACATGTTTAGAATGAGAAGGTCAGTTTTTCTACACCTTCATGACACCTTGGTGCAAGATTATGGCTTGAAAGTAGAGAATATGTACCAAGGAAGCCCTAGGAATGTTCTTGTGGGCATGTGGTGCACCTCAATCATTAAGGCAAGTAAAGAACAAGTTTGGCCACTCTTTAGAAACTGTAGGTAGGAAATTCAAAGAGGTGCTTGAATCTGTCATGGGCTTGGCTTTCGACATTGTTAGGCCTAAAGATCCATAATTTTGTACAATACATCCTAAGCTAAAAAAAACTAGGTTTTGGCCTCATTTCAAAGATTGCATTGGTGCAACTAATGGCACACATATATCAGTAATTGTTCCATTAAGTGAACAACTTAAATATATTGATTACCATGGGTATGCTTCACAAAATGTTTTGGCAGTTTGTGACTTTGATATGGGGTGCACATTTGTTGTCACTGGTTGGCCTACGCATGGACACTCGTGTATTATTAGATACTCTGCCCACATACAAGGAATGATTCCCACACCCTCCTACAGTTATGTATCACTTTCAAGTACACTTTGTACATTCAACCATAAAACTTAGAAATCTAATTAGCATGTAGGAAAATATTATCTTGTCGATTATGGATATCCTAACAGGAAAGGATATCTTGCACCATACAAGGGACAAATGTACCATGTTTCTGAATGGCGGCATGGTTGTAATCCGGTGGGACTGAAGGAAGTGTTCAATTATGCACATTCGAGTTTGAGGAATGTGATTAAATGATCATTTGGAGTCCTAAAGACGAAATAGTGTATTCTCTTAAACATGCCTCAATTTCCTTGTATGGCCCTTCCCAATTTCATTAGAGACAATAACATTAATGATGTTGATTTTTAGTCAAGTATCCAAGATGATAGTACTCATGGAACTGAATCTAGCATAGGTGATGGGAGTTCTTCAGGGGAAGACATGGATATGGGTGCTTTGCGTGATGCTATAGGTGAAGGGAGTTCTTCAAGGAGTGACATGGATATGGATGATTTGCATGATGAGAATGTTTGGGTGATTGCGTGATATATGCCATAGTTATGATTGGGTGATTGGTTGTATCCATCTAGATTTCATTGTATTTTAGAGAATGAGAATGTTTCTGTGGATCAGTTATTAATGCAATGAACTTCCTACTAAACAAACTAAAAAATTAGTACCACAATACACCAAAAAGACCTTCACTGCCAGAGTGTCACTACCGGTTATTTTAGAATCGGCAGTGATAGAGCATCACTGCCGGTACGTGGCTTCAACCAGCAGTCTTAGGACAACCGGCAGTGATAGGTAGCCTATCACGGTTAGTTTGTGCTTCAGCCAGCAGTGATAGTATACATCCAATCACTGCCAGTTGAAGCCACGAATCGGTAGTGATAGATCAGCTATCACCGCTGGGTCATGCCTTGAACTGGCAATTATAGACTTTTTTGTACAAAAAAATTCATAATATTTTCATATGAGGTTGGATGAAGATAAGATTTATATCAAAATTGTAAAGTTTAATGAGATCTAAAACTTTATAGTTGATAAATTTTTAATTTGAGATTGTTTACAAGTCCAAATATTCAATATAAGTTCTCGGATCAGATTTAAGATGATTAACAATGTCGAATGGAGACAAAGTCAACTTCAAAGTTGTAGTATTTGATGAGATCTACAGTTTTGCTGTTAACAACTTTTATTTGAGATTGTTTTGAGTGTCAAATATAGAGTATAAGATTCAAAATTATGTAGTTAAAAGAATAGTGTCAGCTGTATAGTCACATGTGTCACGTAGCTTATCGAGGGAACATGAACGTTGGGATCTTGAGTTTGAATCTAAAAAACACATGTTTTTTTTTACCATTTATCACTGTCGGTTCATAGAAAACCCAGCAGTGATGAAGCTTATCACTGTCGGTTCATAGGACATTTTACCACTTATCACTGCCAGTTCGTAGGACCCGGCAGTGATGTGGCTTATCACTGCCGATTCGTAGAACCCGACAGTGATGGGGCAACTCCATCACTATCACATGCCAAAGTAGTTTCATTTTCCGACAGTGATGAGCTGTTGAGACCAGGCAGTGATTGGCTGTTCTGGGACAGTGCATCACTGCTTTCAGCTTGTATTCAGTCAACAAATGAGCTATCATTAGCCTCAAGGTCATACATGCCATTTTACACTTAGGACAGAGAATCTAGAGGGGATCAGGAGATTCTTCTTGCGGCAGATTCTTCAGACCGTGACTTTTTATCTACTATGAGAAGCAGTGCATTATTGTAGCATGGTGCTGTACTTATATATTAGGGAAAATTGGCTACATGACACCGAAAGTGACCTCTATTTGCTGCTGGACATGCAAAATAGAGCAGTTTGCTGATAGACACTCTGCTTCTTGTCAAATTTGCTGGTGGACACCAGACCGAATAAAATATTCATTTCCGGGTTTGGAGGAGAGAGAAGAGCGGTGAAATATCCTTAATACCCCTACCTCTTTCTCTTTCCCTTTTTTTTCCTTCTCCCTCTTCCCTACGTCGCCCGCGTCCTGACCCGCTGCCGCCACAAGCCGAACCCCGGCGGCCTCGCCTGCTCCTCTGCCACGCCTTTGCCTGTGGCCTCGCCGGCGCGCCGCCCCTCCCTGCCTCCGTCCTCATCCCGCCCCGCCCGGAGCCACGGTGGCCATGGCTGCTCGCGCCACGGCGGCCCACGCCATGGTGCCCACGCTCACCCTCGCCCCAGCGGCCGCACCTGCTCGAGCGCGCCCCGGCTGTCGTGCTCCCCAGTGCCCCGACGGCCCCACTTGGCCACGCCCCGGTCGTCACGTCGGTGCCCCGGGTCTGAGGCTGGGCGCGTGCGGGCACGCGTGCTGGTGCTCGGCCGCGTCGTTGCCACCATGGCGAGGGCGAGCGTGGGCGAGGGCGAGCATGGCGCGGGCCACCATGGCGCTCCCAACAATGGCGGCGCACCCTCCTCCATGCGGCAGCGGCCACGCCCCTCCCCCGCATCCCACCGGCGCGGCACCCTCCACAGCCCGACGTGCGGCCATGGCGGCGCGCGGGCGGAGGACGAGCGCGAGTGGCGTCGCGGCACAGCGGGCGGAGGACGACACGCGGCCATGGCGGCGCGCGGGTGGAGGTTGGGCGCAGGTGGCGTCGCGGCGCGGCAGGTGGAGGACGACGCGCAGCCATAGCGGCACGCGGACGCTCGGGCGGAGGTTGGGCGTCGGTGGCGTTGCGGCGCAGCGGGTGGAGGGCGAGGATGGGGAGGCGCTGGACCGTGACGTCGCGCTGGTGCCGGGCCGAGGTAGAAGAAAGGGGCAGGGGCAAAAAGGACATTTTACTGCCCTTCTCTCTCTTCAAAAGCCAGAAATTAATATTTTATTAGGCGAAGTGTCCATCAACAAATTTGTCAAAAACCAGAGTGTCGTCCAGCAAATCGCTTCATTTTGCATGTCCAGCAGCAAAGCGTAGACATTTTCGGTGCCCAGGAGCTAATTTTCCCTATATATTACGGTCATGTCACTGGAACAGTATTAATTTAGATGTCAACGCAACTTTTATAATCAGTATGCACGTGTTTAGTTCCTACCCCAAAATCCCAAAAAGTGCTATAGTAACCATCACATCGAATCTTGCGATACGTGCATGGAGCATTAAATGTAGACGAAAAAAAACTAATTGCACAGTTTGGTTGGAAATTACGAGACGAACGTTTTGAGCCTAATTAGTCCATGATTGAACACTATTTGTCAAATAAAAACGAAAAGTGCTACAGTAGCCCAAATTCCAACTTTGGGCCAACTAAACACGCGCTATATCGTGTTGTTATTTCCTACGTCACTTAAGACAACAATTATTTTGTATTTGTGAATATAGTAGTAGCCTAAAATCTGAGCATGGTTTTCAAGTCAATCGAGTCAAAGCTGCATGTCCGAGATGTTACTACTTTCCACTCTTTGATTTTGTTCCATCTCAAAATCAACAAAAAAAAAAAATCCTACATACACTCATTTAGTGTCCATGATGGAAATAATAATATCATTAGCATCCAAACATTGAGCTCATAAATTCGTGATTGCTTATTCCCACTACCAGACCTAGGGTTTTTTCTGACAGCTGGAAACCGTCAGGGAAGACCAAAAAACCGTCAGGAATATAGTTCCTGACGGCTGGAAAGGGCCAACAGGAACAACGCGACTAGAATAACTGATATTTCCTGACGGCCAGCCGACAAGAATCTTTTCCTGACGGCTGACGGTTGACCAGTCAAACCCGAAACCTAGCAGCCAAACTGACAGGAATCAAACCATAAACCGACAGGAATGTCTTTGTCTTGTCCTGTCGTAAGAGCCGACAGGAATAATCTGACAGCTTACTTTTCCTATGGGTTTTGACGAACCAACCGGAATAATCTGACCCAATCCTGTCGGTTTTTAACAACCGACAGGATTTCCAGAAATTCCTGACGGTTTATACAAAGCCGACAGGAGAAACCGAAAGCGAAAGGAAAAACCTCTTATCTGGTAGTGTCTTATATCTTCATAAATTATACCATATCTTATCAACAAATTTGAGCATTAAATTAACACAAGAGTTGGCAGCTGTTTTAAATGCTATATATAGGAGAACTTGTGTCATGTTCAAGATATATAGAAGGTCAAGTCGTTTGAGCCCTATATTTTCTTCACTAGCTGCCGAGATTAGCGCTATAAGAGATGTTTCTGTCTAAGAAAGTAACAGTGTTCTCCTTGTGGTAGTTTGTATCGTGGTTTCTCATGGCCTCCTCGTGATGAGCAAGCCACCGGTCACCAAGGAACAGAAGGATAAGATCCTAGAAGAATGTGACAAATTCATCCGTCTAGGGTATTCTGTTTATGTTGTATCCCGGCATAGTCCCTGTTGCGATGCTGTGAGGGCGGTTGAAAACAGAGACATGGACTACGTTGTCCTCCTATTCACAAATGAGCAGAAGGACAAGTACAGCATATCTAAGATCCTGGCGCTTCATGGCTCTGCGAACTTCCTGCTGCTCCTCATCATCAGCAGGTAAAATAATCCATCATTAACTACTGAACCTTTCATACTATTTGGTACTATGAAATATATATCCGAGTTATGATAAAGATAGAGTAAAATATTATTAACCCTTTTTTCCTTCCTGGACAGGTCGTGGGCCGAAGGGCAGTGATGTGATATGTAAAAAACATCTGCAATTTAGTAAAAAAAATCATTCAAAGTCTCATCATTGTGGCATGTATCTTCATCATTAAGGAAAAGTGATTAATGATCAAGATTTATGATGCGTTTTTGCTGTTGTGCTTGCGGATGTCTCTTGTTGTGTATGGACTATGGAACAGTTGCACTTTTAGGTTCAGTTGAGTCAACACATAAATCATGAACATAAATGGATTGACAAGCATAATCATGTAACCACAGCATAATAATGAAATTTGTATTAAAATTGATAATATAAAACAAGCAGATTAATCATGAGAGACGCATAAATTGCATCGTACTCAACCTATGCAAATGAGTTAGCAGCAGAAGCAGGACCAGAGTCAGAAAATACGAACGAGGGGGGCGCCAAATACTTAAATAAAGACAAATAAATTATTAGATGTGCAAGTGCAAAACCAATTTTCGTTGAATTACATGGTAATAATTTTTTGTGTAGATAAGAGGATTCACCCCCCTCCGCTTGTGAGCAAAACAACGGGAGGATACATGAAAATAGAGTAGATATTCGTGATGATGACCGGCAGTGCCAAGCCATAATGATGTTCGTGAGCAGTCATGGAGGGAGTCGTATATATCTTTGTGTAATGATGAATCAGGAGTGAATAAACATATAAAGGTGTCAAGTTTGGAACTTTTGTTCAAGAATCCCCTGCCATTGCACAAATCACAATAGGAGTGAGTGCGAGACCAAGAAGAACAGCAGCCGCCACTAAATAACCAACGCCAAGGGGCAGGCACGGAAAAGGGGGGAAAACGTGGAATCTCCTAGGAGAGGCGCCGAATTCACATAAACCCCCAAATTTCACGGAAAATAAACTGCACTGGCGCGGTGTGAAACCGGCGAAGCTGAAGAACCAAAACGAACCATCAAACTGAGCGGGAGAGAAGGACCTGCTGGGTTCGATTGAGAATGGAACCGAACCATGACTTCGCGCACAGATTAAGGAATGCGTGCATCGAATCCAAGCAAGCAAGCAAGGGGTTTGGGAGACATACTAGCACAAGGAGGAGGAGGAGACACCAATCGCCGCCCCCACTGGACCGGACCGGGAGAGGAGGCGGGCGCGGTAGGGGGCGCCGGCGGCGGCGGCGCAGGGGCAGGAGGAAGAAGGGGATCGGTTTGTTAGGGCTGCGGATGGGAGGGGTATTTTTGATATTTTTCTGGACTACTGGGGAAAACTTGGCCGGTTATTTTTACAAGTTTGCCATCACGTTGCCGTTCGCTTGCTGATTCTCAACAGTTCCATGTTGTTGCTTCGAGTTTCGCAGACTACTACAAGTATGAATTTCTATTTTACATAGTTTCTGATAGGTTTCAACCTCCCATGGCATAAGACCACCGCTCTTTGTATATATAAGGGTCACGGCCCATTGAGTTGAATACAATAGAACAAATCAATCTATAATCTTACTTTTTACACATCTTGCCCTAATCTCTTCTAACCTTCATGTTGTTGTCCATCTCTTGATCCGAATACTAAAGATGAGGAAGTAGGCTTGCTGGTTATCCTAGGACAACCATTTGACATCCTTGCCCTGACAGGGTCCCTCGAGCGAGAGCTTCGATGGTCTCTTTTCTAGTTAGCTAAAACAAATTATGATAAGGACTCGCTGAAGGGTATGTGGTGGATAGTATAAAACTAGAGTCACTCGGAGATCAATCAACAAGATCAACTAGCACTGAAGATTACTCGACGGGTTTCTCAAAGAAGAGCCATGCTCAATTCTCATATCATATATCAATATCAACTCCCTTCAAATGACGAATTACATTGTTTACTTATACTAGGAGCATTCCTCCTATTTGGGTGTGAACATAAGCATAAATAAAAGCAAATGGAAGATCATGTTGGTGGAGAAATTGAAAAGTCTTCTTTCATTCTCGCACAGCCACTAACAGCGTGTGCAGCCTCCACTAAAATAGCCATAACTCCTCGCTCCGAAGCCCAAAAGATGCACCGTTTGTTGCGTTGGAAACTAGACTCATATATCTTTCCAATGATATAGCATATGAATGCTAAAATCATCGAAATTGATGCCAGCAAGCCATGAAATATAACACTAATTCCGCATGCTTCTCGTGGCCTTACCAAATTAGCTATTCTTTGTCATGTAAGTGCAATAGATATCATTCGCATGTTTGCATAAACCTAGCCGTTCTTCACCATATAAGAATGATACTTATTTTTCATGGACGAAATATGGGAAACCTAGCTGGGCTGAGTTGCAAAGTATATGCAAGGCCGGGTTCAGGTCAGCTCGGCTGGGTTCCAAACCCGGCTATATATGGCAGGTTTCGCAGGCAGCACCAACGAATATATATGAGCATGCAGCTCGGGGCACGGCATCCCGGCCTGAAGAATGGTTTTTTGGCCCGGCCCAAGCACGGCACGGCCCGATACACAGAGCCGTGCCTTGGCTGCACCCCCAAACACGCGGGGTGGCACGGCACGGCCCACAATTTAATGGGAGGCCGAGTGGTGGCCCGACGCCTGGCATGGCCTGCTAAAAGATCCCCACCCCTCAGCCCAGCCCACTCTATACCTAACCCTAACTTCCTATTCCCAGCCCACTCCCCACTCCCACCGCACGGCTGCGCCGCACTCGCAGCATCAGCGACCGCGCTCGACTCGCCTCGCGTGGCCGTGTCCCGCCCCGGCTCGCCAGTCGCCTCATCGACGTGGCCGGCTTCGAGCATCACCGTCAGGTTCCTCCACTCCCCGCGCCATGCAGAGCTCCGCCTCCTCCACGCCCCCAGCTTGTCCAGCCTGCTGCTGCTCTCAGCCTCGCAGGTCCGGCTGCGTTCTCCACGATCGCCTCCTCCACTGTGCCTGCTACTGTTCCGTCCTCGCGGATCAGGTCACCTCCTCCATGACCACATGCACCGGCCTCGACCTCTCCTTCCTGGCTTGCTGTTGTCGCCTCCCTTCCCTAGCCTCCTGGCTCCCCTTCCCCCCTGCCTCTCTCTCTCGCAATGGGCCTTGGGCTGGCTCGGCCCGTCATTTTGGCCATGCTTTCTGGGCTGGCCTGGCACAGAAAATAGCCCTTAGTGCCGTGCATGGGCTGTCGGCCAGGCACGAAGCCCAGGGCGGCAGGGCCCAATGGCATGCCGGGCCCTACTGTGCCGTGCCTGGTCAGGCCGTGCCTAGCATGGGCCCGTGCCATGCCGGGCCGGGCTAGCCCATTGCCCATCTATACCAACAAACACTACTAGATTCAGGCAAAGGCTACTTTGCCCTCGGCAAAGCCTTTGCCGAGGGCAGCACTCGGCAAAGAGCCTCCGTTAAAAAATCCGTCGGCAAAGAATTCTTTGCCAAGCGCCTTTTATCGGGCACTCGACAAAGTCTTTGCCGAGTGCAATCTTGGCACTCGGCAAAGAAAAGTGAGCGTCACAGCGCCAGTTGCGTTAGTACATGCTTTGCCGAGTGCCATGTCAGAGGCACTCGGCAAAGATTTTTTAATTTTTTTCAAAATTTCTTTGCCGAGTGCCCTACCGGGGAGGCACTCGGCAAAGATTTTTTTTATTTTTTTTAATAATTTCTTTGCCGAGTGCCCTGCCAGGTCAGCGCTCGGCAAATATTTTTTAATTTTTTTTCGTAAAATCTTTGCCGAGTGCCCTGGCCCTTCCTAGCTTTGCCGAGTGCTAGGGTCATGGCACTCGACAAAGAGGCTAATTTTTTTTTGATTCTATATTCACAAACACAGCATATAATAGATATATATAACATCTGTGACATCACAAACACAATATAGCACATATATATCACATCCATGTCATCACAAAGGCAATACCACATATATATCACATGTCGATCACACAATATCTCACATACACGACATCACAAGCATAATAGGTCCAATATCCATCGAAACAAGTCGATAGTCGATCATAGTGCATCACATGTCCATCAAGCGGTGAAAAAGAGATACAAACTACAGGTGGGGAGGAAACTGAGTGCCTGGTGAAGGAAAAGTGCCGTCGCCTGCTTGCGTCTGAGATGGGTTATTCGAACCCGCCGACGGAGGCTGCATAAAGGACAAGAGATTGCATCTGTTAGAGTGGTCATCTAATGAAAGCACTAGTCGAAGCAATTTGGTTTCATACTCACAGGACTAGTTACAACTGACGACAGCGGTGGAGCGAACTGCGGCACAGCTACACCGTGCATTTGCCCAAAGTTCTGCAGGAACGTCGTAATCTCCGCTAGCTGCTTGGCCTGCCTTTCCCGCTCAGCCCGCTCGGCCTGCTTAGTCCTTGCCGCCATGTCCCGCAGCTTCTGAGCCATCCTCTCGTTGTCGGCCTGCAGCATTTCAATCGAATGTTTCAGTAACGCAAAGGTAACTAAGTTATTTAAAGATCAATGTACGAAGAGTTAAACGGGACTAACCTGGAGTGCATCAACCCGCTGCTGTGAAGGGGACGACCGTTGGCGTATGGCCGGGCCTCCGCTCGGGGTCTGTGCTCGGATCTGGGAGAGGGAGGGAATCTCGCTGGGCTCGAGGGTGCTATCGCCAATCCAGTACCGCCCATGCTTCTTGCCTTGTCCGAGCCTCATGACCATCGTCCCATCGATGTCGTCGGTGCTCGGATCTTAGTCTGGCCCATGGACCGACATTGCCTCCGACGCGTACGAACTGATGCGGGTGTGGAAGCTCGGGTTGCTGTAGGACTCGGGCGGGTCATCCAGGGTGAAGGTGACATCTGGGGTCCTCCTGCAAAAAAGGGCAAAAATGGTTAGTGTCGACTCAAAATTTCGGCAGCACCTCCTCTGCATGGGGTGGTTCCCAAAACCTGCAAAAAACATGGCACAAAGGCCAACAACCACATATATACCAAACATAGGCACGAAGGCCAACAACCACCAATATATCAAGAGGAGACATGTACTTTAGTTCTCTTTCCATGCAGATGAAAGTATTGAAGTAGTACAACAACAATTACTACTAACC